TTTCAATAAAATGAATCCAAATTTTTGTAGTATAGAATAAAAAACATTTCAAGATAGAAAAGTATTATGACTATTTATAAATGTTAATAAAATAAAAACTACTTGTATTTTAATTTTTATTTATCAATGTAATAATATTGAGTTACTAAAAAACTGTTAGCAGTTAAATAGTATTTTGTAATAAGTAAACATAAAATTCAATTAACTTCACATTTTAAATAATGACTATCTCGTTTTTCCTACTATGAAAAATGTATTTTTAATCTTATTGATTTTTAGAAATATTTTTTAAGAAACTTTTAAGTGATTTCGATCAAAATCATGTAAGGTTTAAACTTGAAATGAGCTTAAATTTATTGAACATTTAGAACTTTGTGTGGATACTAGAATTAAAAATTATATACATCAAACCCTTAGTGGTAATAGCTCGTAATTACATTTTTTGTGGTAATAGCTTTTATGTACTAAAAATATCCGTTATTCTCACATTTTTAATTTAGTCATTAAGTGTTTTAATGAAAAAACACATATTTTCTCTATAAACTACAATAATATGTAATAGTTATGAATACATACATACATAAAAAAAAACTTGATAGTTAATTTTATTGTTTTTTTACTTTAAATAAAATTTGAAACGTAATAATTAGGTCTATGAATTATATGCATTTATAAATTTTGTTAAGTTAATCCGAAAACACCATTATCAGTCAGTACAAATTTTTATTAATCGACTTGAAACTTAGTAATGTGTTTATTCAGATGTTATAATCTTGGGAGATTAGGGGTTGAATTCTCCCCTAAAACGAAAAATATTTCTGCTTTACTATATAATCCTACGGCAAAGTTGCACAAACTTGGGACCCTTCAAATTGGCTCAAACAAAATGTATAAACGCATATAATTGACAGCCTCGTAATAATTAAAACAATTTTTGTGTTATAACCGGTACTGTTGACTCAACTAATCGAAAGCCATTTTGTCGAGTGAAGTCTCGTCTTTTGTAATAATTACATTAAAATTAATAAAATTAAAAGTAAAATAAAATGTATGGATTGTACGTCTCTTTTGGTTTCTTTGCTATTAAACAATGGCAGGTTTGAAATCCATCAACTTTGCTAATATTACAAACGCTTTTTCATTACAATTACATACAATGAATCACACAGTTGAGCCCGCGACGCAATCGACTGTGTTCCGATGTCACTCTAAAAATAAGCACAAATACTAATATACGTTCAGGTACAATATAACGTGTTAAGATAGCGCACACTAAATAAACAAACGCTGAAACACATAAATAAAACCAACTGCGACACGTCTTACAAGGATACACTCCGAGGAACCAATAAAGTATACAGTAGAATGTTCAGTAAGTAAGGAACGGGTTTCTATTGTTCTCGTTGTTTATAACAATTGATTTGTTACTTTACTTGCTGAACACGTTGTATATGATGTTTACCTGTAAGGTAAAACCTGTTTGGACGGGTTACGCTCGCAAAACCAAACTGTTAATATAAATTATTTTTAGCTTCGATGCGAAGCTGTAAGATATTAAATTTACTATGATATATTTTTTTTTTGTCTGTTATCACTTTTTCTCAGCTTTCACAGAACCGATTTCTTTCAACAATACGTCAAAAGATCACAAATTGTATCTAGTCGAAGATATTACCCTCAAAAATTAAAAAAAATTCCCTTGTTCCCCGTAAATGTGGGAAATCTCCAAAAAAATTACAAATTTAAAAATCACAAATTTATGACATTTTTTCATTTTTTTTTTACTCAAAACTTCCATATCTTTTTTAAAAATTATCAAATCAATATAATTTTTTTTTATAGATACGTGGGATATTTACCTATCATTTTGTATATATTTTTTTAATAATTAGACCCTTTACCTGGCCACAGGGGGATTTAAAATGACAACCTTTTCACAAAAAATTAATTTTATTAATTAAGCTTTTGAAAGTGTTCCGAAAATTCTGACACTTTTATATACATTTTATATTAAAGCTTATGTAATATACGTTAGTATGGAAAAAAAATTTCGAATTACATTTTGTCTTCATGGTGAAAATGTCTACTATATGTTATTTTTGTGTTAAAATTTTCCATTTTGTATTTTATTTTATTTTAAAATACCTTATAAAAGTTTTTGAGTTAGAAAAAAATTTTTAAATTATTTGATTTTTATCTTATTTAGATTCAATAACTTTAATAAATATCAAGGTCCCCATCACTGTAGTCCCCTTCGTTTGAAAGAATTTCTTGTTCATATTTAAGTTTTTTTCCTATGTGATTTTTTTTTATGACTCTCATTTATTTTCTTAGCTTTTAATTGACCAACTTTTTTTAACGTTACATCAAATGATTATGACTAATACACTCGACTGAATAGATTTTTTTAACAACATTTTTATTGGTTGTCTTAGATAAAATAAATCATTAAAATTAATTATGTTCTGAATATTTCAATCAAAGAATATTTTTAATCACAAAAAATAACTTAGAAATTATTACTGTTTTATATTTAAGTGATCTATTACAATAAACATGAAAAAAAATATTGAGCTTCTCTGATAAATTTACAGTAAATAGTAATTATAAAATTTCCTGACTGCATATTAATCCTAACAATACTATTTTTTTATTCTCATAAAATGTTCTATCTAATGTAAATTTTAAAACTTGCTTAGCTTAAAGTTATGGTAACATTTTCAACTTTTTTTATTATAAACTTTCAAAAATCAACTTTAAAATACCAAAAAAATATGTTAAAAATGATATTTTTACTGATTATATTTAAAATATTAAAAATCAAAATCTGTAATTATTTAAAAACAATTTTTTTTGTGTTTTTAATATTTTTTTATCGTAATAAATCATATCAAAAGAAATATTAACAATTTCTAGATAACTCTTGGTGTGTAAATAGATGATACAATTGAAATATTTAGAACTATTTTCCTTATAGTTATATCCTATAGTTTTTAACTCATTAGTAATAATATCAAAAATTATTGGTGATGGAATACATATAAATGCTGATTTTAGTACGAAAAATTGAATAATAAAAGTATCTTTTTTACTCTGATGACAATTTTTTGCAGACCATTTATTCATAATTAACAACAAATTATTATCAAAAAAATTTCTTTGTCACTTCAATTTTGGTATGGTAGCTAAATTTTCATTTTAAATTTTATTTTAGACTGAATATACATTGTATTTCATATTAATTTAATTATAGTTGAAAATTAATCTACATAAGACCCAACCATTTCTCACAAATAAATCAATAAATTTGGTACTTCATCATAGTCAATTTTACTACAAATGTTATCATATCACTTAAGTACTATATTTTAATTTATTTAAATTAAAATTTATCTTAAATAGTTGGATTCCTGAAATGTATTTAATTTAATTATTGTTTTAAATAATTTTCTGTTATCTCTAATTTAATTGATATAATATTTTGAATTAATTTTTCACTTAATTAACATTTTTTTTGCTCTATTTCCTTTACTTATAAATGGACGATTTTTATTTGTTTTAATAATATTTAGTCAAGTCAATTATTTTTTACTATATGAAAATTATCACCTATTTTATTATCATTAATTTTATTACATTGGAAAAATAAATTCTGTACATTTTGTTTTCAAATCAAAAATTATGGGTTAAAAATATGATAATATAAAAAAATATGATTTAAGAAAATTTTTTTGACCTGATTATATAAAAATCAAGTTTTTAATTTGATTTATTAATGTTACATTTTTGCTATGAGTATTATTTTTTTTAACAGAGGGTTAGAAATTTTTAGCAATTGATTTTTGTTAAGTTATCATTAAAATAAATTAAATTAAATTCATGAAGTTTTATAAACTTTGTATAGTTATTTACAACCTATATACTGTAAGCAAAAAATGTGGAGAGTGAAAAATTTATTTTTGTCGATTGAATAACTTTTTTTTTTAATGGTGCAACTTTTTTTAAATAATTATTTGTTAATAGCATACTCTTATATTAAAAAATTACCGACTAAAACGATTAAATTTGGCCAAGTGGTGGGTGTAATATCCTTCACAAACCCCTCTGAATGACGGCTCTGTATATACCTACATATTAATCATTTAAAATTGTTTTATCGAAAATTAATTTGTTATGAGTTAACATTAAAACTATTTTTGTTGTGTTTGCGTGGTGAAATAATGTTGTATTTCCCTGACAGTAATTCATTGATTTCTTAAAATAGATTTCAAAATATAGTCAAGGTTATACCAAGTAGGGTTAAAGTCATATGTGCTATTCGAATCTAATGTGTTGAAACGATTATTATTATGCACATTTAATATTTGTGTCATTATTATATCTACTAATGGTGTATTATTAGTAATAGTAAACCATTAGTAGGTTTTAAAGTTGTTGAAACAACGTACCAAAATGAATAAATTTATTTTTGAATTGAAGACGTCTAAAACACTGACTTTTTATACAACATTTAAAATGAAATGTATTAAAAATAAATCAGTTTTGAGTAAAATTACTCTCACTTTTTTACTTTGTTATACTCGGAAGTTTTTTTTTTAATTACTGTTCGTTTAAAATAATTACATGGTCTTGGGTAAACTATGGTCTGGATTTTAGTTGAAAGAAAATATCTTCCGTCAAATACTAATCACACATTCTTTGATATTTTAATTAAAACACGATTCTGATTCTGCGTATATCACACAAAAATATATTGAACCAAATGAAAACGTAGAAGACACAAAACTTGTGGTGTTTATTCAACGAGAACATAATTCTGTTTGGTACAGTGTTTGCAGTTTATTTTTATGAAACGGTACCGCGCATATGATTGAGTCGAAGATTAATTAATCTATGAATAAATTACACAATACGGTTGTGCCGCAGGTATCAAAGCTGAACATCGTTGGTAGTCGTGTTATCGATAGCAACGGTAGCGATTTTGCAGGGCTTGGAAAAGTTGGCGTCGACATCAGTTCGGCAGTATCCTCGCGCACGCCGAACAGTTTGCCCCTCCGTCGTCACCGCCCCTTTTGTCGTAGTCGCGTACACACGCGGACGGTAATATACGCCGGTTGACTGGTACAGATTTGAGTTAACACAATTTTTTTTTGTGTCCATTCGTAATCATTTTTTTTTTTAAGTGTCGGATTTCGTCGGTTTTCTGCGACCGTAACATATTATTACCGGTTGGTAATAATATGTAATAAGTATAACTTCACCGGTCATAGTCGGCAAGATGCCGAATATGTGCGGGTAGCATGGAATCCTAGATAGAAAAGCGATTTTTAATTGTGGAAGTGATTATTTAAATTCTATCGAAATCAAAGTGATTCCCTTTGATCGTTTGGAAATGCAAATGTTGTCCGTCAAGTTCTCCTGTCATGCCGTTTTCCGGTTAATGTTATTCGTTCTCACGGCGTTCATTTGTTCCGTCGATAAATCAGGTAACATCACAAACATACGTTTTTATATTCAATTAAAATATTGTTGATGATCATTACAAAGTCATAGTTTTAATAGTTTAGTGTTTAAGATAAACTTATGTTATCAACAATTTAGTTAACAATACAAATAAATAATGTAATATTTTCTGATTTGAATTATTTTTAAATTTTTAGTACAACTATATTTTAGCTATAGTACATTTACTTATTTAAACCTCATATTAATATATTGAACTGGTTTGTTTGTTTTAAATAAATTTTACTATTCATAAATAGTATGCTCTAATTAATTAAGTGTTAAACTGTTAAAAAAAAAGTCTTTATGATATCAATGGTCACTTTTCAAAGAGATACAATTGAATTTTAAATAAATTATTATTATTATTATTATGAAAACATGCGAAATAATGAAACAAGTTCATGTTTTCTGAGTATATTAAAGAATTCTCTAAGAAGAAGAAAATCATTAACAATAAATGAGGCGCTTGTATCGTTAAGGTACTAAGTCTCGATAAATAAATTTTACAGTAGGAAAAAACGATTTATTTAAACCGCATGGACTTGTGATAAGCTTCTTTTTGTTTTGAATGTATTTTCGATCTTGTATATTTTATTTATAGAATAAAAATTATGTTGAAAAAATGAATCAAATATATTATTCTTCATTTATTTTTTCATCGGATTATTAGGATGTATTCACTGTTTTTCATAAAAAAAGCGAAAAATTGATTTTTTGGACTTAGTACCTTTTCCATAACATCACCTCAATTAGTGGTGTATTTATGGGAAAGGGATTTAAGGATTTAACCCTCTCCTCCAGAGCAAAATCCTTAGTAGGCTACTGATAGAAACAAACATATATACACACAAATAAATTGTGTACGAATATGAATAAATAATTATAGTAATAACTGTTTACAGAAAATATATTGAATGAATTATAAAACTGAATTTGTTACAATTTGTAAAAGACATAGAACAAGATGAGATGAGACAAAATTTCTTAGATGAAAATTTTGCGATAGTGAGGGGAAAACAAAATGAAATTACAAAAATAAAATACTTCTGATGTATTATTAATTTTAAGAAACCACTTCAGAAATTCTGTAATCAATGGTGGATTAGAGTAAGGTCTTATTTATGAACTAGATAAATACCAATGAAAAAAATCTAAATGATATAACGATAAACATAAAACAAAATATACTAACTATTCGATTTAACTAATGTGTATCTACGTTTTTTAATAATAATTGTGTTTGCAAATCATAAGCGTAAAGCAGTAAATTTTTCCCAGTCATTTTTTAGTAAAAAAACTCCTAGTCCATATAAGAGCTCTCATCAGGGAGAAAAGAATAGAGCGATATGGCAAATACTCGATATCCCTCGTTTAGACAACTCTACAACAAACTAGCTAATACCCTAAAACACCAACTTCTAAAATTCAAATCAGTTCAGTGCCAAAACTACATTCGATCACTCAACGCTAAGGATTAATCATTATGGAGAGCCACAAATCGACTGACTCAAACTAAAGAAATTACCCCACCTCTTCGAAATGACAACGGTATCCTTGCATATCAGACCAAGACAATGTTACGGCTTTCACAAAAATATAAATTTTTTTTTTCTTTATTCCAAAAATTAAATAGCCTCATAGTATTTAACGCCGACTTGACCATGTACTTATAGTTTAAATATTTTCATTACATTTCTCCACTAGACTATAATATAAACTTCATATTTGTGATATTAGAGCTACTGTCATATTTTTTTTAACTTGTGAAAAATATGACATTGACCATTCTTTTATCAAGCCACAAATATGTAACAGAGAACTGTAATGAAATAAATTCTTTGATAGAAGAGCGGATTTTGAATTTTTTCCTAGGATTCTTAATAATAATAATATGTAGCAGAATCTTACCTATATATTATATAATGTTTAAATATCATTGCTTCCTCCGTAAGTCTAACACTAGTTTTATGAGATAAATGGTGTAAAATTTTATCAATTTGAACGTGTTTAATGATTTTTATAATTCGAATGTGTTAGGAGTATAATGTGTGAAGAGTAGATATTAATGTATTCTTATGTTTTTCATTTAATTTTTCCAAGTTGAACAATGCAATTTAACCCCAACGATGTATTTGGTTCCAAATACATCAATTTACAATAACTCGAGTTATTGTAAAGTGAGTGTTTTACTTTATCAAGATGATAGGTGTGAGTTTGAGAAGCCATAAATGTCATTAATAGGGAAATTGTACCTCGAAGCGAATACTTAGTTATTATCTAAATTAGCTTTGATACTGTACTGATAATAGTTTAACGGTTATGTAAATGGGCGATTTAAAATAACTTTAATGATAATTATTCACTCAATGTTCAATGAATGTAAGTCATTCGTTGGTATGTTATTAAATAGTGTTTTTCTGTCTATTATATATATTCACTAACTGTGCCACTTTTTCAAGTTGGGTATTCTCATTAATATTGTATTAAAGCTCTTTGAAATATCCATATGGTGTAAACTTTTTAGTGGAGTTCATGGTGAATCTATGCTCATATGTCATGCTTGATTGTGCCATGAACAACATAGGCTAAGGTTGATATAAAATTGCTTTTTGAACACGTACAATTTTATCAGGCGGGAACAAGTTAATTATTTTTCTTTATCAAGTTAAAAGTTTCTCTTGTAAAGCTGACTGTACTTTACAAATAAGGATAAAGAGGCTTTTATACATACGGCCATTTAAAAGGTTTATGTCCATCGTTATGATAAAGTTTAGATACGACTATGTCTCAAACAAATTCTGAAAGTAATAACGTACTTGCGGTTAATAATAAGTTATAACAAATTTTGTGGTGATTTTAAAATTTCATTACTTCTATTCACACGTTTTAACTTATGTGAAGTAGCTGAACTCGTACAGTGTTTTTATAGCCAATGTAATACGTGTTGCACAAAGAGTAAAGTTAATTTAAGTAAATTTTTTTTATCAAAAGTTAATAAAAGAACCAGCAAATCACAATTCACAATTTCTTTACATTATAAATGTAAAATTAATTCATTTTCGTGCGATTTGTCATTATAGAGAGTATTTAACAAAATTCCATAAATATTAACATTTACCTTAAGTATTACTTTCGACAGTTCTTACAATACATTTAACCGTAAAAATTCCATAAATATAGAACCAAGATTTGAATATTCCCAAAAATAACACTGTCGGTATTATATTATCGTTCAATTATAGGGCTTTGTCAGTGAATAAAAATTAATTAAATCAAATTTTTTATTTAAAATTGTTAAAAATTTAAAAACAAAATCAACAAGTTCATCTATTTTATAGACGAACTTGTTGATTTTATTTAGAAATACTAGATTTTAATTCTCAATTATAAATGAGTTATTGAAATTTAAATAAAATTTTTTTTAATTTTTAATAAATCTTGATCTACATAATCTGTCCGAGTATAGAAATCTAGAATTATAAACCGCTAAATTTTAAAGCAGACAATTTTCCTGTAGAATTTTCATTGATTTGCGGTAGAGCTTTAAAATTTTAGTGTTTCAAAACTTATCGAATGTCTTGCGCAATATATATATATATATAGTACATAGTGTGTAGTATATAGTATCTTGTTCGTATATAAAACATAATTAAGCGTATGCGAAATGTATGCCCTGGTGGTTAATACCTTTGTCGAATCTCACGAGAAATGTACGCTTTTATAGTTCAATAATGAATGCATTGAATTATTGTGTTTCGCTTAAATTTAAATTCACAGTGTCTAGAAGATATATGCGTAGCTCGTTGCGCTGTAAAACACAAGAATGTTTAGTTACGTGAGTTGGTGCATGCGAATCGGATACTTAGCTAAATGTTTCTTGACAGTTCTATGTAAAAATAATATTTTAATATCTCTCGCACTGTACAATTACTAGTGTACTACGATAATTTTGTCTCTATACATTTAATTTTTCGGTTAGTGAAGACTAAAATTTCGATTAAAAGAATCAAGTGATTCTGAAAATTCACATTAACTCTGTATCAATATTTCAAAACACACATGTCATGTAAACATCTTAACTTGTATTATTTATATTTCTGGAACTTAACACTAAAGTAAAATTACAATTTATGTTTAACATGCTTTTGGATACATTTACAAAGCATGACTGAATACTGCTGTTTAAATCTCTCATATATCTCAGATTTTTCAGCTTGATAAATCAAGCGGGTCAACGTCATACCCAGAAAATCCAGTCGTAATCTCATGTTTAGTCTATTCTAAGGTTATAAATAAAAAGAGCCCAATCATAAGTATACTCTTAAGTTTTACTTATAACTTTAAGATGTAACTAAGACGATGAATAGAAACGTTGATTGTTCTGTGTATTCTCCCCTGTACAACCACATATAGCTAATTATAATGTTCGCGAAAATTATATAATTGTTTTTTTTTTTTTTTATCAATTAGTAGAATGAATAAGTGAAATTATAAGTTAATCATTGAAAAATATAATGATATCGGATAGCTATGCAATTTTTTTAATTGTTGGTGTGCTGATCCATTTCAAATTAATCATTTTAGGCTTAATTTTTAACACGAAGAATAAGTTAAAAATATGAACAGTAACAAAAAATAGATAATTTGAGATTATACTAGGGAACCTATGTCAACATTTTATAAAAGTTTGGTTTTGAACTGTAGTTGAAATTAAAAACTCGCACTATATTTTAAAGTCGTTAATTTGATCCAAGTGTAAAATATTGATTTAATTTGAATATTTTATTTATTTATGGTTCATCCATTCGTAAGTACAAGTGAATGCAGTGTGAGTAAAACAAACTCGTTAATGATTTTTCATAGCTGAAACGGAAATAATTTTGATAAAGTTATTAAATTCCGCGTACTTAGTCACTAATGTCTATAACCCATCAAGTATGTAGACAAACTAGTGGTAAATGTTTTGTTGTGTAAATGATCT